ATACGACTGTATAGACCAACTGACCTGTTTCATCCTCATTTACGCACTCGTTGGTGCCCCGCCAGCGTATACCGATAGTACAGGCGGGGCTGCCATTCCATTATCACCCAATAAAAAAAAAACCCCTAATGTTGCACGCGTCCTACTACAACAATCAAACATCATCAGATGAGCTGTATGCTTTACCACTTTCGTGGTATAAAAAAAATTATCTGCTCAAACAATTTTTAAAATTCTTTCATCTACAGAAAGTGAAATTGTCAGTAAATTGCATGGGCTTTATTTTATTTCCAAAGAAACCTTGGATAACTGAGACGAGTCGACAGTATTATAATATACTTATACGCATGGGGGGACGGGATCATTAGTAATGAAGATTAGCAGAGGGAGACTTTGTACAAAAGTCGATTGCTTGGGTACCTCTGTTCCATTCGTGTTTCTACCGTGAAGCAGTTGTGGTTTTATGGTTGTGTTTCGGTTTGAAGGGTGGGATATGGCGTGTATTTACAGGATACAGAGGAATAACACCTGAGTCCTCAGGAATGGCAACGCATGGGGGGCATCATGGGCGAAATACTACACTCTGTTATGTCCATGGTACTGCTCATGTCTATAGGCGACGGTTACCACTTTCCATCAGGTGGGCCATCAGATAGTTAGCCATTCTATGTTGTATAAAAAAAAAGCAACCCCATTGCTAGCAATATACCCTGTCAGGTTGACTGCCACGCGATTCCTCCTGAATTCCCCCTTCAATCATTGTTAAATTGGTCACAACGGACCAACCGACCTGCTTCATATTCGCCTATCCCTTAACGTGGTATTACCACTTTGCATCAGGTGGGCCGTCAGCTTGTTTGCAATTCTAAGTATTATAAAAAAAATGTTTATTGTTTATGTTGATATTTCGAGAACTTTCCACGAGTATATCGTAAACATGTTTTGACATATCTATTTTTAGTGATAACTCATCCCATTCGTGTTTCAACCGTGAAGCAGTTGTGTTTACATGGCTGTGTTTCGGTTAGAAGGGTGGGATATGGCGTGAATTTACTGGGTACAGAGGAATAACACCCGAGTCCTCAGGAATGGCAACGCATGGGGGGTATCATGGGCAAAACAGTATACTCTGTTTTGTCCATGCTACTACCCATGTCTATAGGTGACGGTTACCATTTTCCATCAGGTGGGCCGTCAGCTTGTTTGCTACATGTAATTACATGTAATTAGTTCGCTGTGTGGTCCCAGCATGGAATGGGCCACCCCTTCTTTTCCAGTAGATGTCGTAAGGGAGACCAAGGGAATTTAACGGTCCAGGGATGGGCAGCAGCGTCCCTTTTAAAACACCACCAAAGCCTAACAGCGGTTGTCAATCAGCATGACAAGTGGGGTAATTTATTTATTCATTAAAAATAATAACAACGTTATATTTTTTTTTATATAACAAACAACAAAAATTATAATTTTTTTAGAATGGCAAACAAGCTGACGGCCCACCTGATGGAAAGTGGTAACCGTCACCTATAGACATGAGACCAGCGAAACAGTATACTCTGTTATTTACATAACATTAGTAACAGTATACTGTGTTGGATCGACTTCCCAACAATACCATACGTTTTATTTTTAATCTTCGTAAGTATGATCATGTGGCAACCCTGTCTTTTTGGACAGATGATTTTGCCGCGAAAGAAAGACGGTTGCTATGATATGTACGGTGAGGAAAAAAAACACTGTTGTAACCGGTTTTGTAACTACAAGGGTACAGACATCAATGCCATTACAAAACCGGTTACAACAATGTTTTTTTTCCTCACCGTACATATCATAGCAACCGTCTTTCTTTCGCGGCAAAATCATCTGTCCAAAAAGACAGGGTTGCCACATGATCATACTTACGAAGATTAAAAATAAAACGTGCATGTGTGGTGTGGCATTATATTATTAAACACTAAAGATTTTCGTTGAAACGGAGATAATACTTTTGATATGCAATGAGAGGATTTTAGAATGGAAAACTACAGAAAAGATGAGGAGACGGACATAGCAAAATATATTTTAACAATACGAGGTCTGTCCGGAAAGTTCGTATAAAAGTGTTCTGGAATGCGAGAAAGAGGAGTGGGGAGGCCAGGTAAGCGCAGGACCCCTTCCTTATGTCCCTAACAATGCTTCAGTTCTGGTCTGACCGCCGTGCGGTGCGAACTGGCTTGTCACGCCATCTGTGAAGTTACCTCTTAACGAAACCCCGTCGGCATGGAGCCCGCTTCCGTTGAAGAGCAGCGCGTCGTAATCAAGTTTCTCTCGAAACTCGGCAAGAATGGCCGTGAAATTTTTGCCGATCTCAGAACAGTTTATGGGGATGATGCTGTGAAGGAACCAACCGTCCACAAGTGGCTAAAAAGATTCAGAGAGGGCCGAGAAAGCGTTCAAGATGACCCACGTTCAGGACGTCCTTCCACTTCACATTCCGACGAAAACGTGGAAAGAATTCGAACTTGTGTTAATGGGGACCGTCGTTTAACGGTCAGACAGGTGGCTGAAGAGCTTAATTTGGGCAAAACCGTGGTCCACGAAATTCTAAGAAACGAACTTCAAATGAAAAAAATTTGCGCCAAGATCGTTCCGTGAGTTTTTGAGTAAAAATTCCATTACGGTGACCGAACACCCCCCCCTATTCGCCGGATTTGGCCCCGTGTGACTTCTTCTTGTTCCCAAAAACCAAATTGGTACTTCGGGGGCGGCATTTGGGGGACATAAATGAGATAAAAAAAGCTACGACGGGGCAGCTGAGAAACCTACAACCAGAGGACTTTCAAGGAGCCTTCTCACAGTGGAAACGGCGTTGGCACAAGTGCATTATGTCACAGGGGGAGTACTTTGAAGGGGATAAAATTGATTTACCTGAATAATTGTAAAATAAAATTTTTAAAAAACTTTTATACGTACTTTCCGGACAAACCTCGTATGTAAAAACAATATGTCCAAAAAAAAATATATAAATTTCGAATGACAATAAGAATATAAAAATGTAGCAAAGAGTTCGCTACATCCGTAATAGTCGAACCAAAATTATTTTATATAATAGCCTTGTCCGCAGTATACTGGAGTACTGTAGCGTAGTCTGGCGTCCACATTATTGTACACATGTTTTACGTATTGAACGTATTCAAAAGAGATTTTTGTGGCACCTCCCGTATCTAAATAATAAAGGAATAAAAAACTCCTCTTACATTGACAAACTGAAGCATTTTCACATAATCTTTGACGCATCTTTGAAAAACGCAGAGATTTTATTGACATTTCTTTTGGTTTTAAAAAACTGACGCATATAATAGATTGTCCACAAATGCTTCGACTGTTTAACTTTCGTGTTCCCCCCAGAATACCTCGGAAACAGATAACACCTTTATGTCCTCCTTTAAGAAGAACAGTGTTAGGATCCAACTCGCCTGTACCCAGATTATGTAGGATTCTGAATGCTCACAGCGATCAAATTGACATCAATTTTGGATCCATCAACAGCAGATATGACTTATTGAGGAAAATCTTAGACATAAGTTCTTAATCTACTTATTGTTCAGATATTGTTATTGTCATTGTTAATAATTATCTATTTCTATATGTTCTCCTTTAACCAAAGGTTGTCTGTAAGAGATCGCCCTAGCGATAACACCGCCTTTTGTACCTTTATGTGTATATTTCAATCTGTATTTATGTTACTGTATTTCATTTGAATTATTCACTTGTCATTGTATATTTTTATTTATAGTGCAATAAAGAGTTAAATAAATAAATAAAATAAATAAATAATTATTAAATATTATAATAGTGCATGCGGTGTTTGCCTGTAAAAGACTGTTTTACATTAGGAAAAATTATTTTTTGTGTTATTGATTAAGTAACATGTAAAATGTAAAAGTTGTAGGTGATCCATATTAAATAAATAAATAAATAAATTAGAATATTAATTGTGCTTGTATACCACAACCTAACAACATAACAAATTACTGTATCTACTAATAGCAATATATAGGGCAAAGCAATAAACTGAGCTGTGACCATTTTGTGTTACTATGGCACACGCATGAAGGAATGGTAACAAAGGAGATTGTTAGATTATGTATTTTGTTTTTGTATTTTTTTTTTATTTGTGCTTTTTTTATATTTATTCTTTTGTCTCTTTTGCTGTGTATTACGTGTATGTTTTTTTTTTATTGTAATTTGTGTGCTGTAAGTAATGTAAATAAATTGTCTATCTATCTATGACATTCGAATATAAATTTTTATTTATGAATAAATAAACTAACTAAACCCCGCTGTTTGATTGCACCTCCTTCTCATTGCACGGTTTTCGCCGGTGCACCAACACTAAAACCACATCTCTCCCTACCGCGCTCAACTTAAGTAGCTCCCTATCCGACTGCGTAGATTTACACGCATATTGTGTACTCTGCATTCCATTTTATTCGAACCAAACTCTCCCCACTAGTTTAAGCGTAAATTCCAATTTCATGGAGACATTTTTTTTTAATGGATGATAATGGAATTGTAAACTTCGCCTGTGCTAACGGTATACGCTGACGGGGCACCAGTGAGAGATGATAGGTGAGAATGAAAAGGTTGGTCAGTTAGCACATCGTGATGGATACAACTGGAATTCAGCATGATGGTTTCCAGGGGGAACGACGTGGAAGTCGACCTGACAGGGTATATTACTAGCAATGGGACTGGTAGTCCGCATAACACCTGAGTCCTTAGGAATGACAACACATGGTGGGTATCATGGGCGAAACAGTATACTCTGTTATGTTTATGGTACTGCTCGTGTCTATAGGCGCCGGTTACCACTTTCCATCAGGTGGACCGTCAGCTTGTTTGCCATTCTAAGTTGTATAAAAAAAACATTTTCAGCAACAATAAAGAGTTTAAATTAATTTATAAGAAAAATATATTATTTAAAAATCAAAATTCAAGGATACCAAATAAAAATATACATATTTAAATAATCACCTATATTTCATTAAATACAACATTAATTTATAAAAGTTGTTAGTTGCCATGCCATTAAAACAGAAGGGTAGAGAAAAAAAAAACAAAAAACTGTATACAGCCAAACTGTCTGAACAAGATTTAAGTTTTTAATGTATTTTTTTCAATGGCAACACTTTTCAAGATGGTGGCCTTCACTAATTACTTAAAACTAAAACGCATTCACTTTCGACCAGTTCATTTCTTTACGGGCGCGACCAATTCTTCGAGGGCTTTGATCTCGGCTGAAAAAAAAAGGAAAAAAATACATATTAAAATTTTGCGCAACAGAAAAAAATTATTACAATGGTGATCAAGAAGGTATATACATATAATATAGGGCTAACATAGCAATGAAGGAAATGAGATTTTTAGAAATAGGGGTACAGAAATAGCCTTATTGCTGGCAATACTGTACGTTACATACAATACCCTCCATATGGTTACAAACAAATAAATTTTTATTTTTTACAATATTAATACTGATCGGAATTTTGGTATGGTAACCCCGCCTACGGTAACGGTATACACTGACGGGGCACCAGTAAGGGATGATAGGTGAAAATAAAAAGGCAGGTCAGTTAGCTTATCGTGATTAATACACCTGGAATTCAGCACGATGGTTTCCAAGGGGGACCACGTTAAGGTCAACTTGACATATATTTTTAGCATTGGGACTTGCAGTCCGCATTACTATTAATTCCCAACCCCCCAATAATTTTTTTTCTGGATGCTAATGGAATGGTAACCCCGCCCGCGCTATCGGTATACACAAGCGAGGTACTAGGGAAGCATGATTGATGAAGATGAAAGCAGATCAGTTGAGTCATTGTGAGGAATTCCAGTAGAATTAGCCAAGATGGTTTCCAGAGAGAACCCGTCACCTATCATCTCTCCCTAGTATCTCGGCACCGTATACCGTTCGCGCAGACAGAGTTACCATTCCATTATGATCTATTAAAAAAAACAATTTGATTACAAAAACAGTTTTTTTTCTATACAACTTAGAATGGCAAACAAGCTGACGGCCCACCTAATGGAAAGTGGTAACCGTCGCCTATACACATGAGCAGTACCATGGACATAACAGAGTATACTGTTTCGCCCATGATACCCCCCATGCATTGCCATTCCTGAGGACTCAGGTGTTATTCCTCTGAACCCTGTAAATTCACTGCCATATCCCATTCTTCAAACTGAAACACAGCCATGCAAACACAACTGCTTCATGGTAGAAATACGATAGGGACAGAGGTACCCAAGCAATCGACTTTTGTACAAAGTCTCCCTCTGGTATTACTATTATATTTGCGTATGCGGTCAGCTAAACCGTTGCAATTCGACCCATTGGAATTAATTCAGACTGCCATTTTGTTCATGCGTGTTTTGTGACACATGTTTCGCCTCTAAACTAGGCATCTTCAGGCAAATTTTTTAATCACTGGTCGGGGCCTAGTGTTAACCGTTTAATGGCTAATATGGAAGGTTGTAGAACTTCTGGTAGTAACAGTGGTGGTTAAACTTCAAGTGTTGGCAGTCACACACATACTAATGGTAGTGGGATTAAATTAGATAATTCTAACTAAATAACCAGTGATATGGACTACCGCAAGATAACACCTAGTTCAGTAAAATGCTAGTGTGTATATTTATTTATATACATATATATGTATATATTTATATATATATATATCAAAATATAAAAAAAGTCCATACCAGCAGCAGCTCTCGCCTTCTCCTCCTTTAGTTTCGCATCCCTGACAACCTTCTCCTTGGCCTCGATTTCTCGCAGTTTGGCCTCCTTCTTGGACAACCTGCTCTGGTGGAATGCTCCGTACAGTATGCCAGCGCCGAGGAATGACCACCGGCCGAACTGTAATTGAATATTTTCACACATACATAACTAAGTATGGCAAAATCCAAATGAATATGATCACTGAACACATTTTCATGTATTCCTCCCTGGTACCCATGGGCAAATGTCAATGGTGCAAGCGACAATACAATTCCATTTTTGTAACATATTAAATTGTATATATTGTACAGTCCTTCCAAGGGATACTTTCCGAAATAAAACATACGTTATAAAAATACATATAAATATTCGTTTGCTGGAATTAATAATGCCCAAATCCTTGCAGCTCTATAAAACTACGAATGATTTTCTTTAAAGGTTAAGGAATAAAATACTATTAATTATTAACAAATCTGGCTACAAATAAAAGAATAATAATTAAATTAAACGCAATAGAACATTATATTTCTTAATTCAAATTTAAAAAACAGCAAATATTTCCAAAACACTTTGTTACATAATAATCGCTGATAAAAATTAACATAGAATATTAATGGATAATTACCCTTATCAAAGGTGATACTCGTACTGGAGGTCCGTATGGAAGATCAGACATTTTGTTATTTTAATAAAAATATCTGATTACAAATATGATTTATTAAAATTCACAATGTCCTTTAGTATGAGCGAGGTTATTCAATTTGACGGAAGAAAACAGAGTTGCCAACATGTTCTCCATTTTCATCAATTAAAAAAATATCCAGTGCCTAATATTCATAGATTAAGAATAATATCTTAGACTTAGTACATTATACTACTTACTAATAGACAATCAATACATATTGCTGGCTTAATAGAATTTATTCATATTGTAATTCATTAATAATAACTTATCATTGATGGGCATGAGTCTTTTAAGACGATTTTTATAATTTCCAGTAAGTATATTTAAATAATTTATTAATAAATTTTTGTTACATTCTCTTTGCTGTCATACACATAAAATGTTCCTACCTACTTTTTCAAATAAACTAAAATTTCCAATTACATAATTAACTCCAGAACTATTAATATTGTTGGAAATACTGACCACATCCTTTCTCTAGTTTTTTATTGTACTAGTAACACTTCGTTTCGCTGCTTTTTTTTTCAATGTCACGTACGTGGGTTCAGCTCAACTCTGATTTTAAACAATTGTTATTTGCGTTTCACAGTGTATCTGTATATATATATATATATGTATATATATATATATATATATATATATATATATATATATATATATATATATATATATATATATATATATATATATATATATATATATATATATATATATATATATATATATATATATATATATATATAAACACAGTTTACAATCAAATAGTTTATTTATTGTGCTCTGCTGTAATAAGATCGAACAAATATCCTTCTATGAAAATATTTGTGTTTTAATGTTCATAATCAATAGCTCTCCGTATAGTTCTAATGTAGAATAGGCCACCCCTTTCTTATTAAACATTATGTGAAGAAAATATGATATGTTTGTTTGGAGTTCATTAATTATTTTGAAATCTAAGTATTATCTTATACTCGTATATAAAATTCTCGTGTCACGGTGTTTGTTACCAAACTCCTCCGAAACGGCTTTACTGATTTTTATGAAATTTTGTGTGCATTATGGGTAGGTCTCAGAATCGGCCAACATCTATTTTTCATACCCCTCAATGATAAGGTGATCCTCCCCAAAAAAATTTTTTTTATTTTTTTTTATGACAAATATTTCCATTTTTATTTTATTATGATTTATCATTGAAAAATACATACAACCTCAAATTTTCACCCTTTTACTATCAACCCCTGTATTTTAATCGCGATTTTTATATTTGGCAATAAGTGGTAAAACAACGTTTACGGGGTCAGCTAAATTGTGAGCTATTAAATTGTGAAAATTATATGGAGAATTCATGTTTGAAACAAGAAAATTTTACTAAATATCTGTGTTCAGCACTGGTGGAACTACAATAATCCACAAGCACTGCAATGTGCTAGGCTCCAGTAGCAATTTCTGAATTTTTTTAATGGATGGCAATAGAATGGTAAACCTACCTGCGCTATAGATGTATGCTAGCGGGACACCAGTAAGAGGTGATAGATGCGGATGTAAGCAGCTCAACTAGCCCATCATGATGAATTCAATTGGAACCTACCTCTACCTACCGACTTACGAAATAATATCACTGTCAAAAACATAAAATTTAAACTGAAAGCTTATTTACTGTCCAACCTTGGTAAAACAGCAAAATATTAAAGTAAATAGTGACATTTGAGAACCGAATGTAAAGTATTACTCACAAGCCCAAGAGGTTTAAGCGGTACTAAAAATCCATTGTTTCCAGGGGGAACTGCAAGGAAATCGACCTGATAAGGTATATTGCTAGTAATGGGGCTATTTAGTCCCTTTACTAACAAGCCCTTTCCCCCATCTCTGAATTTAAGTAATAATGATAAGTAATACCTATAAGTGTGATTTGTAGTCATTGAAATGTCTAATTCACATCTCAACTAATGTTGAGAGTCAAGGTGAGGCGCTCGCTGTTAGGTTTTACATCGCAAAGGCATTTGACCGGGTCCGACATCGAGGTCTATCGAAATTGCCCTACTATGAATTTCCTGATAGCCTGTATAAAAGGATTGCCAGCTTTTTGTTCGGTACACGCATAAAAACCATTGTAGATGGTTTTTGCTCTGATAAAATGGATATTAATGCTGGCGTCTTGCAGGGCTCTGTGCTATTCCCGACGCTGTTTCTGCTGCATATTAATGATATGTTAACCTTAGGTGACATTCATTGTTATGCGGATGACAGCACTGGGTCATAGATTTTTTTTAATTTCTTTTTTCTATTTAACTTAACTTACCTTCCAAAAATAGGGGGGATGGATTGTTAATAATGGGGTCTAATGAACCCATTGCTAGTTTAGGGTTTTTTTTCCAATGAGTGATAATGGAATGGTAACCCCATCTGCGCTATCGGTATACACTAGCTAGGCACCAGTGAGTGATGATAGATGAGAATGAAAGTAGGTCAGTTAGCCCATCGTAACGAATTCCACTAGAATTAACCACGATGGTTTCCAGGGGGAACCGCATGGAGGTCGATCTGATAGGGTATACTACTAGCAATGGGTTCATTAGACCCCATTACTAACAATCCCTTCCCCCCAAACGCGCAGGTGGGGTTACCATTCCATTATCACCCATTAAAAAAAACCCTCCGAAAATAAGCACAATATTGTCTGGTATACAAATTGGGAATCGGTAATTAGATAATGTATGGTGTAAATATAATATTTTTAATTATTCTAGATCTTATATCTGTTCATTTCAGGTGTAATATTAAATTAAATAAATAAAAAAAAATCTAATATGGATCCAGCATCAGAATACGCCAGTTGACAAAATTTGGAAATGAATTTAAAAATATAGCTTGGTATCTATTTTATCCCAAAAATATATTATTTAAAAAATAAGTCCTTTTGCATAAGAATTATGCGTTTTTAGAAATGAAATCAAAATTGACATTAAAAAAGGCCAAGTCTATTCCAGACGAATTATCATATTGAAGACTAGGCAGCATGGTCTCCGACCTTAGCCTGTTCCACAACGGAACAAACGTACTAAAAAAAAAGGCCAAGACTGTCATGGCATATTGAATAACGTCACGCCTTCCGAAACATTCGTGTTAGTTTATGACAGTCAAGAAATAATGAATTCATTTTATAAATACTGTGTAGTGCCCCAATGTAAAAGTACAACGATAAAAACGCCGAAAAAACTATTCATATACGTTCCAAACAAAAAACTAACACGTAAAAAGTGGTTAAAATTAGCAAGGAGGCGAGATGCTCCTACTATGTCATGTGATTCAACACTTTATTTCTGTGAAGATCATTTTGATGTAAGTAATAAGCCATGTTAATGTATCTATTGGTAAATATAAAGTAAACGTAATGAATTTAGCAAAATCTACCGTATTCCTTTATAGATTATGTACCCGTAACTTATAAAAAATAGGACTAATTATTTATAGGTGATAATGAAATAGTAACCCCACTCGTGCTATCGGTATACGCTGATAGGGCACCAGTGAAGGATGATAGACGAGGATGAAACAGGTCAATTAGCCAATCGTGACGAATTCAAAGAGAATAGGCATGATGATAAATTTTGCGAAACTGTTCTATAATATTTGGAAATATATATGAATTATAATAAACATAATATTTCTGCGGAAAATTTAGGTTTAGTACTTAAAAAATAATTTTTGATTCATAAATTTAAAATTTGCACCAAAACGCGTCAAAGTGTCATGGCGTCGCTTGCTTACGTCACTTTAGAGTACAAGGAACATTCGGTATATGTAAACATTATCTAATTCATATTTAATTTGGACATTTTACTAGTTTTCACATTAAAAACATGACTTCGAAAGCATATAGGTGGTGTTCCGTCCCTCTGTGTACTAATACGTCCATAAAAACTCCTGAGAAGTTATTTATTTTCGTTCCTTTCGAAAAAAATTAAGAAAGAAGTGGCTTGAACTTGCAAGACGTGATTTGGAAGGAATATTACCCACTACACAGCTTTATTTTTGTGAAGATCACTTTGACGTAAATATTTCCTTTTTTATTTTGTAGAATTTTGTTGCTAAATTCATTATAAGCTAATTTTATGGGAAGAAGTAAACATTGATATACAAACTTTTTGGAGGTTATGATTCTCTTACTCACTGTTACTTTATTGTAATCAAATCCTCAATGAATGAGCTGATGCCAGAAACGTTCCTAGTATTATAAGTCGATTCTTGGTAAATTTGCGCTGGAAGCCTTTGTAAATCCTTGTTCCATGACTCAATTTAGCGTAATCAATTTACACAAAAGAAATTGAAGTTAATAACAAAACAATAACGGCGTATTTAATTAAAAAAGCGAGCGAGTGTGTATTATCTTAAGTAATTCAAATGTAAACAAAGAGAAAGAACTCTAACGTGACGTCATGCGCTCTGATTGGCGTTCAACATTTCATGGCGGATTGCCGTATTTAGCGATTTTATTTTATCGATTATTATATTCATCTTGCTTTTAATTATGAAAAGAATCAGAGTTTTAGAATTAGGAATTTTGTAATAATATACACACAAATAATTTCAATGAAATTTACTTGTTGTCATCATGCCTATTGTTCACAATGGTTTCCAGGGGGAACCACGCGGTGGTTGACCTGATATTGCTAGCAATGGGGCTGTCAAACTCCATTACTAACAATCCATTCCCCCCAAATGGTAGGACTTGTATATGTTTGTGTTATTTTTTATGACTTATAATATTATTTTTGTTATAAAAATGAAATAATTAATACTTTTTCTATTGTTTTAGTTGCCAAATGATATGGTTAATTATATGGAATACCATATTATGGGGAAAGTCTCTCAAGTGCGCATGAAACCAGGTTGTATGCCGACAAAATTCGAATGCCAAGAAGATAGGAAGAAACGTACGTGTAGGGACATCAAACGACCTTATATATTGAAAAAACAAAGAAGGCAAATAATCGCAGAGTGTTTGAAGGAACGAGAACAATGTATGACTTCTCATACATCAAGTTCATCGACCAAGGATATTTCAACAAGTTCAGGTGTGTAATAAACAAAACAAATGATTT